AGATCTGCTGCGTGTGGTGGACGACGAAGGAGGAGGCGCTCGCCGACGCCGCCCCGTACACCGTCCGGTCCGTGTTGGTGCCCGCCGCCTCTTTGGCGAACACGTGGAGGAACTGCTTGGTGGGCGGCGCAATGCCTCCCAAAGTTTCCACGAGCACCAGCCGCGTTACGGGTCCCGGGGGGTCGGATGGGTTGCGAGAGGGCCCCGGCTATTTTTTGTTTGAATCCCGGAGGCCGTTAGAACATGAATTGACGGTCCACGTGCCCGTCCACAGCCACGGACAACATGCTAGCCCAGCAGGCCGCTCCCACCGCCGCCCGCGGCGGAGGCAAGGCGGCAAAGGGTGGCAAGGGTGGCGGCAAGGGCGGTGGCAAGGGTGGTGGCCGTGTGGCGCACCAGACCCGCTTTGCGCCGCCGCACTCAACGCCCGATACTCGGTTAGAGCCGGCGGAGCGACGGCGGCAAAGGTGGCTGCGGCCGCCGGCGACCTCACACGGTGTCGAGCGCCGTAGAGACGGCCCCGAGAGCCGCCACCAGGTGTGCCACGACCGCCGCCGCGAGGCTCGTGGCGATGGATGCGCCAGACCCGCTTTGCGCCGCCGCCAACGCCCGATACTCGATCAGAGCCGGTGGAGCGACGGCGGCAGAGTTGCGGCCGCCGGCGACCTTCCCCTCGACCACGCCGCCGACCCGTCCACAAGCACGCGTGGACTGCCATCGAGAAGAAGGAGAAGGAGGGCGGCGGATCCGGAGCCCGCGGGCGCGGCGTGGGCGGGCGCGGGCGCGGGCGGACGCGCGGGACCCCGCCAGCGGAGGCGGCAATGCCTCTGGCGGCTCTGCAGGCGGCGCGCGGCGCGCCCCTCGCCGGTCTCCCGCACGCTCCTGAGGGCCGAGAGGGCCGAGAGGCGGGGTCGGTGACCCGGGGGCATGGGCGGTGCGGCCCGCGCCGCGCGCGGGCGCGTAGCAGCCCGTGAGTGCCGAGATCGGGTCTGTGCTTCGACGTAGCATGGGCCCCCGGAGGCCCATCTACAGCAGCGGCGAAGTGAGCGTGTTTGTGGTGTTGGTGTGACGTCTGAGCTTGGATCTGTGACTAAAGCCGCTTACCACTGATGGATCCCCACCCGAATAACACACAGTGAGCGCCCCAGCACTTCACTACGCCCTCCGCGCGAAATCGCTAGTGGTGCTTTGTGGCAGCACATTGTGCTTTGTGGCAGCACGGGTGCGGTGCCCGAGACCGATTGCCCCACGAGCCCCTCCCAACGTCGTCGACTTAATGAGA